GAAACCCGTAACACCTAAATCGTTTTGAAAAGAAAGAAAATAAGTTGACTGTTGGTCAACCGTCTAAAGAACCGAATGTAAAGTTGAATTGATTTTTATTAAAAGGATAAACATATGCACGATCTTAATTGTTGAATTATTATGTTTATTCTTGTGCTACAATGGAGTACCACTCAGCGTCAATGCTGAGCGGATAGCGTTGTTTTCCTTTTTGCTGTCCGTAGGTGATCAGACAGATGAACCTAGAGCCGATCCCAGAGGGCATTGAGGAGGAGATGTACGATGGCGTGGCTGTCTCTTTAATCTGTTGATTATGCTTTATTTAATTAACTTTAATGCTTGTTACGTTTTCGGGCAAGATCCCAAGTTGTTTGACTTTAAAAAGGCTTCCGCATTATTTTAAATTACTCCGATGGATTTTTATATGTATTGATAGAACGTTTGTTTAAAATTGTTTTGAAAATGTCGCAAATTCGGATACCAATTCAGTGGCACACCGGTCCGCTGTCTCACGGGATTGGGTCATGCGGGTTGGGGTGTTACATTTTGGTACCTTAAAACCTATGAATCTACTATTCTAACCCCGTCTTTGGATGAACAAAAGAAAAAGGGGATAGCTCTCAAAGCCACCAAGGAACCGGTGGAAGGGGCTTCAAGCGATGACGACAATGAATTAGGGCTCGTCATCAAGAAGTTCCACAAGTTCATGAAGAAGGAATTTGAGCGGAAGGGAAGGAAGCACGACTGTCCTCCCAAGTGCTACGGCTGTGGCGAGATTGGTCACATCAAGCCAAGGTGTCCAAAGGCCAAACACGGCAAGGATAAGCCTGGCTTCAAGAAGCAAAGGGCCTACATCTCTTGGGGTGGCGATTCCGGCGACGAATCAACCAACCAAGAGGGGGACGAAGCTGCAAATCTCTGCCTCATGGCGCACGAAGATCAAAGCGACGACGTCCAAGAGGTATGTAATATTTCTTCCGACTCTTACACTTTTGAAGAAATGCAAGAAGCACTACATGAACTCTATGAGGAATTTGTTAGCGCTTCTAAAACAAATAAATCCCTGAAGAAACGACTTTCTTTACTTGAAAACGATTGTGAAAAATTGGAAAAAGAAAATGAAATACTTAAACAAGAAAACAAATTTTTTGGAAAAAGAAGCGCTGACAAACCAGAAAGCTCATCGAGTGAATGTGGATCTTGCAAAACTTTAAAAGAGCAAGTCGCTAAACTTGAGAGCACGGTCAAGAAATTTAATACTCCTCACAAAGACTTAAATTTACTTCTTGACACTATGCATTTTTCTAAGGAAGGAATAGGTTTTGATAAAAATAAAGCTAAAGATAATGTTGAGCCACCACCTAGACAATCTCATCTAAGGTTCAACATAAGAAACCTAAAAATGAAGATAATAGAAAACCTAGTCAACCGAAGGACACTAGACAACCTAGACTAAAAAAACCTAGGAATGAAAATGGTCATAGTAGACAACCTAAGAAAAATGATTTTGTGCATAAAAATGAATTTTCTCAAATAAGAAGAAATAATGCTAGAGCACCTAGAAGAGGCCAATTTCAAAATTTCCAAAAACCATCATTTTCACAAAATATGAACAAAATGGTTAAACCTTCTAACTATTATGAACCTAGGCACATGTACAACCCCAATGTAGTTTGCCATTATTGTACTAGGATAGGACATATTGCTCCCGTTTGTTACACTAGACATAGGCACCTATCACAAAATCAAGCACACTACCATTACACACCTAACACCCGAGGACCCAACGTAAATTGGGTACCTAAAACTCATTGATGTGTTTCATAGGTATGCTTGAAGGCATCAAGTGTACTTTGGTACCTTGATAGTGGATGCTCCAAACACATGACCGGAGATGCATCCAAGTTTCTCCAAATCAAAGCCGCTAACGGAGGAAATGTAGTTTTTGGAGACAATAGCAAGGGAAAAATTATCGGCGTTGGTTCAGTAGGTAAATCTGAAAACTCCTCTATAGATAATGCCTTGCTTGTTAAAGGTCTCAAACGTGGTGATAGAATCGATAACATTTATATGGTTAACTTAGACAAATCTCCTTCCGACTTTGCTAAGTGCCTCATGAGTAAAGAGGAAGACACTTGGTTATGGCACCGAAGGGTAGCTCATATGAACATGAACCTTTTGAACAAATTGGTTTCACAAGACTTAGTAATTGGCATTCCAAAACTTAAGTTTGAAAAAGACGCCATATGTGATGCATGTCAAAAGGGGAAGCAAGTTCGGGCTTCGTTTAAGTCTAAGAACGTTGTTTCAACGTCTAGACCGCTTCAACTTTTGCACATGGATCTTTTTGGTCCTTCTAGAACGAAAAGTTTTGGTGGCAATTACTTTGCGTTTGTGATTGTCGATGACTACTCTAGGTTTACATGGACCTTGTTTCTTACTCATAAAAGTGAAGCATTTCATGTTTTCAAAAATTTTCTAAAGAAAGTTCAAAATGAAAAAGAAACAACCATAGTAGCCATA